CATTCAATGAGGCATTGGAGGCAAAGATCCTGGGAATTGGAGAAAGCAACCAAGACGCGGAAGCAAACATTATGGGCAACAAAATAAGGCTCTAGACAAAACAACCAGAACGAGAAGGCAAAGCTGCAGGGCATTCGATAAGGCATTGGAGGTCAAGGCAACTAAGTCGTGAAGGCACGATGGAGAGCATTCAATAAGGCATTGGAGGACAAAGACGAGGAGGCAATGATCCTAGGAATTGGACAAAGCAACCAAGACGCGGAGGCAAACATTATGGGCAACAAAATAAGGCTGTATACAAAACAATAAGAACGGGGAGGCAAATATGCAGGGCATTCGAGGTCAAGGCAACTAAGTCGAGGAGGCATGACGGAGGGCATTCAATAAGGCATTGGAGGCAACGATGCTGGGAATTGGACAAAGCAACCAAGACGCGGAGGCAAACATTATGGGCAACAAAATAAGGCTCTAGACAAAACGATCAGAACGAGAAGGCAAAGCTGCAGGGCATTCGATAAGGCATTGGAGGTCAAGGCAACTAAGTCGTGAAGGCACGATGGAGAGCATTCAATAAGGCATTGGAGGACAAAGACGAGGAGGCAAAAATCCTGGGAATTGGACAAAGCAACCAAGACGCAGAGGCAAACATTATGGGCATCAAAATAAGGCTCAAGACAAAACAATCAGAACGAGGAGGCAAAGATGCAAGCCATTCATTGGAGGTCAAGGCAACTAAGTCGAGAAGGCATGATGGAGGGCATTCAATAAGGCATTGGAGGCAAAAATGCTGGGAATTGGACTAAGCAACCAAAACGCGGAGGCAAAACTCCTGGGCATTCAAAGGCGGCTTCGGGCAAGGCAATCAAGATTCTCTTTACAATAAAGTCCATTGTTGTCGGTCACTTCACATTATCTTGCACGCTCGCATCAACTTCTACGCAATCTTGAAGCTTCTCCGGGGCATTAATAGTTGAATCGGTCCCTGATGAAAAGGTCGGTGTGTTGACTATTCGGTGCGTTGATGGTTGAATTGGAAGAATCTGTAAAGAAAAGATCCATGTTAGCGATACAGGCATTGTTATATAGACAGATACATACTTTATAATTGGAGAGAGGTCCCTGATGAAGAGGTCGGTGTGTTGTTTATTCGGCGCGTTGATGGTTGAATTGGAAGAATCTGTAAAGAAAAGATCCATGTTAGCGATGCAGGCATTGTTATATAGACAGATACATACTTTATAATTGGAGAGGTCCCTGATGAAGAGGTCGGTGTGTTGTTTATTCGGCGCGTTGATGGTTGAATTGGGAGAATCTGTAAAGAAAAGATTCATGTTAGCGATACAGGCATTGTTATATAGACAGATACATACTTTATAATTGGAGAGAGGTCCCTGATGAAGAGGTCGGTGTGTTGTTTATTCGGCGCGTTGATGGTTGAATTGGAAGAATCTGTAAAGAAAAGATCCATGTTAGCGATACAGGCATTGTTATATAGACAGATACATACTTTATAATTGGAGAGAGGTCCCTGATGAAGAGGTCGGTGTGTTGTTTATTCGGCGCGTTGATGGTTGAATTGGAAGAATCTGTAAAGAAAAGATCCATGTTAGCGATACAGGCATTGTTATATAGACAGATACATACTTTATAATTGGAGAGAGGTCCCTGATGAAGAGGTCGGTGTGTTGTTTATTCGGCGCGTTGATGGTTGAATTGGAAGAATCTGTAAAGAAAAGATCCATGTTAGCGATGCAGGCATTGTTATATAGACTGATACATACTTTATAATTAGAGAGGGTCCCTGATGAAGAGGTCGGTGTGTTGTTTATTCGGTGCGTTGATGGTTGAATTGGCAGAATCTGTAAAGAAAAGATTCATGTTAGCGATGCAGGCATTGTTATTGTTATATAGACATATACATACTCTGTAATTAGAGAGAGGTCCCTGATGAAGAGGTCGGTGTGTTGTTTATTCGGCGCGTTGATGGTTGAATTGGGAGAATCTGTAAAGAAAAGATTCATGTTAGCGATACAGGCATTGTTATATAGACAGATACATACTTTATAATTGGAGAGAGGTCCCTGATGAAGAGGTCGGTGTGTTGTTTATTCGGCGCGTTGATGGTTGAATTGGAAGAATCTGTAAAGAAAAGATCCATGTTAGCGATACAGGCATTGTTATATAGACAGATACATACTTTATAATTGGAGAGAGGTCCCTGATGAAGAGGTCGGTGTGTTGTTTATTCGGCGCGTTGATGGTTGAATTGGGAGAATCTGTAAAGAAAAGATTCATGTTAGCGATACAGGCATTGTTATATAGACAGATACATACTTTATAATTGGAGAGAGGTCCCTGATGAAGAGGTCGGTGTGTTGTTTATTCGGCGCGTTGATGGTTGAATTGGAAGAATCTGTAAAGAAAAGATCCATGTTAGCGATACAGGCATTGTTATATAGACAGATACATACTTTATAATTGGAGAGAGGTCCCTGATGAAGAGGTCGGTGTGTTGTTTATTCGGCGCGTTGATGGTTGAATTGGAAGAATCTGTAAAGAAAAGATCCATGTTAGCGATACAGGCATTGTTATATAGACAGATACATACTTTATAATTGGAGAGAGGTCCCTGATGAAGAGGTCGGTGTGTTGTTTATTCGGCGCGTTGATGGTTGAATTGGAAGAATCTGTAAAGAAAAGATCCATGTTAGCGATGCAGGCATTGTTATATAGACTGATACATACTTTATAATTAGTGAGGGGTCCCTGATGAAGAGGTCGGTGTGTTGTTTATTCGGTGCGTTGATGGTTGAATTGGCAGAATCTGTAAAGAAAAGATTCATGTTAGCGATGCAGGCATTGTTATTGTTATATAGACATATACATACTCTGTAATTAGAGAGAGGTCCCTGATGAAGAGGTCGGTGTGTTGTTTATTCGGCGCGTTGATGGTTGAATTGGAAGAATCTGTAAAGAAAAGATCCATGTTAGCGATACAGGCATTGTTATATAGACAGATACATACTTTATAATTGGAGAGAGGTCCCTGATGAAGAGGTCGGTGTGTTGTTTATTCGGCGCGTTGATGGTTGAATTGGAAGAATCTGTAAAGAAAAGATCCATGTTAGCGATGCAGGCATTGTTATATAGACAGATACATACTTTATAATTAGAGAGAGGTCCCTGATGAAGAGGTCGGTGTGTTGTTTATTCGGTGCGTTGATGGTTGAATTGGCAGAATCTGTAAAGAAAAGATTCATGTTAGCGATGCAGGCATTGTTATTGTTATATAGACATATACATACTCTGTAATTAGAGAGAGGTCCCTGATGAAGAGGTCGGTGTGTTGTTTATTCGGCGCGTTGATGGTTGAATTGGAAGAATCTGTAAAGAAAAGATCCATGTTAGCGATACAGGCATTGTTATATAGACAGATACATACTTTATAATTGGAGAGAGGTCCCTGATGAAGAGGTCGGTGTGTTGTTTATTCGGGCGTTGATGGTTGAATTGGAAGAATCTGTAAAGAAAAGATCCATGTTAGCGATACAGGCATTGTTATATAGACAGATACATACTTTATAATTAGAGAGAGGTCCCTGATGAAGAGGTCGGTGTGTTGTTTATTCGGCGCGTTGATGGTTGAATTGGAAGAATCTGTAAAGAAAAGATCCATGTTAGCGATGCAGGCATTGTTATATAGACAGATACATACTTTATAATTGGAGAGAGGTCCCTGATGAAGAGGTCGGTGTGTTGTTTATTCGGCGCGTTGATGGTTGAATTGGAAGAATCTGTAAAGAAAAGATCCATGTTAGCGATACAGGCATTGTTATATAGACAGATACATACTTTATAATTGGAGAGAGGTCCCTGATGAAGAGGTCGGTGTGTTGTTTATTCGGCGCGTTGATGGTTGAATTGGAAGAATCTGTAAAGAAAAGATCCATGTTAGCAATACAGGCATTGTTATATAGACAGATACATACTTTATAATTGGAGAGAGGTCCCTGATGAAGAGGTCGGTGTGTTGTTTATTCGGCGCGTTGATGGTTGAATTGGAAGAATCTGTAAAGAAAGATCCATGTTAGCGATGCAGGCATTGTTATATAGACAGATACATACTTTATAATTGGAGAGAGGTCCCTGATGAAGAGGTCGGTGTGTTGTTTATTCGGCGCGTTGATGGTTGAATTGGAAGAATCTGTAAAGAAAAGATCCATGTTAGCGATGCAGGCATTGTTATATAGACAGATACATACTTTATAATTAGAGAGGGTCCCTGATGAAGAGGTCGGTGTGTTGTTTATTCGGTGCGTTGATGGTTGAATTGGAAGAATCTGTAAAGAAAAGATTCATGTTAGCGATGCAGGCATTGTTATTGTTATATAGACATATACATACTTTATAATTAGAGAGAGGTCCCTGATGAAGAGGTCGGTGTGTTGTTTATTCGGCGCGTTGATGGTTGAATTGGAAGAATCTGTAAAGAAAAGATCATGTTAGCGATACAGGCATTGTTATATAGACAGATACATACTTTATAATTGAGAGAGGTCCCTGATGAAGAGGTCGGTGTGTTGTTTATTCGGCGCGTTGATGGTTGAATTGGAAGAATCTGTAAAGAAAAGATCCATGTTAGCGATACAGGCATTGTTATATAGACAGATACATACTTTATAATTGGAGAGAGGTCCCTGATGAAGAGGTCGGTGTGTTGTTTATTCGGCGCGTTGATGGTTGAATTGGAAGAATCTGTAAAGAAAAGATCCATGTTAGCAATACAGGCATTGTTATATAGACAGATACATACTTTATAATTGGAGAGAGGTCCCTGATGAAGAGGTCGGTGTGTTGTTTATTCGGCGCGTTGATGGTTGAATTGGAAGAATCTGTAAAGAAAAGATCCATGTTAGCGATGCAGGCATTGTTATATAGACAGATACATACTTTATAATTGGAGAGAGGTCCCTGATGAAGAGGTCGGTGTGTTGTTTATTCGGCGCGTTGATGGTTGAATTGGAAGAATCTGTAAAGAAAAGATCCATGTTAGCGATGCAGGCATTGTTATATAGACTGATACATACTTTATAATTAGTGAGGGGTCCCTGATGAAGAGGTCGGTGTGTTGTTTATTCGGTGCGTTGATGGTTGAATTGGAAGAATCTGTAAAGAAAAGATTCATGTTAGCGATGCAGGCATTGTTATATAGACAGATACATACTTATAATTAGAGAGAGGTCCCTGATGAAGAGGTCGGTGTGTTGTTTATTCGGCGCGTTGATGGTTGAATTGGAAGAATCTGTAAAGAAAAGATCCATGTTAGCGATACAGGCATTGTTATATAGACAGATACATACTTTATAATTGGAGAGAGGTCCCTGATGAAGAGGTCGGTGTGTTGTTTATTCGGCGCGTTGATGGTTGAATTGGAAGAATCTGTAAAGAAAAGATCCATGTTAGCGATACAGGCATTGTTATATAGACAGATACATACTTTATAATTGGAGAGAGGTCCCTGATGAAGAGGTCGGTGTGTTGTTTATTCGGCGCGTTGATGGTTGAATTGGAAGAATCTGTAAAGAAAAGATTCCATGTTAGCGATGCAGGCATTGTTATATAGACAGATACATACTTTATAATTGGAGAGAGGTCCCTGATGAAGAGGTCGGTGTGTTGTTTATTCGGCGCGTTGATGGTTGAATTGGAAGAATCTGTAAAGAAAAGATCCATGTTAGCGATACAGGCATTGTTATATAGACAGATACATACTTTATAATTGGAGAGAGGTCCCTGATGAAGAGGTCGGTGTGTTGTTTATTCGGCGCGTTGATGGTTGAATTGGAAGAATCTGTAAAGAAAGATCCATGTTAGCGATGCAGGCATTGTTATATAGACAGATACATACTTTATAATTGGAGAGAGGTCCCTGATGAAGAGGTCGGTGTGTTGTTTATTCGGCGCGTTGATGGTTGAATTGGAAGAATCTGTAAAGAAAAGATTCATGTTAGCGATGCAGGCATTGTTATATAGACAGATACATACTTTATAATTGGAGAGAGGTCCCTGATGAAGAGGTCGGTGTGTTGTTTATTCGGCGCGTTGATGGTTGAATTGGAAGAATCTGTAAAGAAAAGATCCATGTTAGCGATGCAGGCATTGTTATATAGACAGATACATACTTTATAATTGAGAGAGGTCCCTGATGAAGAGGTCGGTGTGTTGTTTATTCGGCGCGTTGATGGTTGAATTGGAAGAATCTGTAAAGAAAAGATCCATGTTAGCGATACAGGCATTGTTATATAGACAGATACATACTTTATAATTGGAGAGAGGTCCCTGATGAAGAGGTCGGTGTGTTGTTTATTCGGCGCGTTGATGGTTGAATTGGAAGAATCTGTAAAGAAAAGATCCATGTTAGCGATACAGGCATTGTTATATAGACAGATACATACTTTATAATTGGAGAGAGGTCCCTGATGAAGAGGTCGGTGTGTGTGTTTATTCGGCGCGTTGATGGTTGAATTGGAAGAATCTGTAAAGAAAAGATCATGTTAGCGATACAGGCATTGTTATATAGACAGATACATACTTTATAATTGGAGAGAGGTCCCTGATGAAGAGGTCGGTGTGTTGTTTATTCGGCGCGTTGATGGTTGAATTGGAAGAATCTGTAAAGAAAAGATCCATGTTAGCGATACAGGCATTGTTTATATAGACAGATACATACTTTATAATTGGAGAGAGGTCCCTGATGAAGAGGTCGGTGTGTTGTTTATTCGGCGCGTTGATGGTTGAATTGGAAGAATCTGTAAAGAAAAGATCCATGTTAGCGATGCAGGCATTGTTATATAGACAGATACATACTTTATAATTGGAGAGAGGTCCCTGATGAAGAGGTCGGTGTGTTGTTTATTCGGCGCGTTGATGGTTGAATTGGAAGAATCTGTAAAGAAAAGATCCATGTTAGCGATACAGGCATTGTTATATAGACAGATACATACTTTATAATTGGAGAGAGGTCCCTGATGAAGAGGTCGGTGTGTTGTTTATTCGGCGCGTTGATGGTTGAATTGGAAGAATCTGTAAAGAAAAGATCATGTTAGCGATACAGGCATTGTTATATAGACAGATACATACTTTATAATTGGAGAGAGGTCCCTGATGAAGAGGTCGGTGTGTTGTTTATTCGGCGCGTTGATGGTTGAATTGGAAGAATCTGTAAAGAAAAGATCCATGTTAGCGATACAGGCATTGTTATATAGACAGATACATACTTTATAATTGGAGAGAGGTCCCTGATGAAGAGGTCGGTGTGTTGTTTATTCGGCGCGTTGATGGTTGAATTGGAAGAATCTGTAAAGAAAAGATCCATGTTAGCGATGCAGGCATTGTTATTGTTATATAGACAGATACATACTATAATTGGAGAGAGGTCCCTGATGAAGAGGTCGGTGTGTTGTTTATTCGGCGCGTTGATGGTTGAATTGGAAGAATCTGTAAAGAAAAGATCCATGTTAGCGATACAGGCATTGTTATATAGACAGATACATACTTTATAATTGGAGAGAGGTCCCTGATGAAGAGGTCGGTGTGTTGTTTATTCGGCGCGTTGATGGTTGAATTGGAAGAATCTGTAAAGAAAAGATCCATGTTAGCAATACAGGCATTGTTATATAGACAGATACATACTTTATAATTGGAGAGAGGTCCCTGATGAAGAGGTCGGTGTGTTGTTTATTCGGCGCGTTGATGGTTGAATTGGAAGAATCTGTAAAGAAAAGATCCATGTTAGCGATACAGGCATTGTTATATAGACAGATACATACTTTATAATTGGAGAGAGGTCCCTGATGAAGAGGTCGGTGTGTTGTTTATTCGGCGCGTTGATGGTTGAATTGGAAGAATCTGTAAAGAAAAGATCCATGTTAGCGATGCAGGCATTGTTATATAGACTGATACATACTTTATAATTGGAGAGAGGTCCCTGATGAAGAGGTCGGTGTGTTGTTTATTCGGCGCGTTGATGGTTGAATTGGAAGAATCTGTAAAGAAAAGATCCATGTTAGCGATACAGGCATTGTTATATAGACAGATACATACTTTATAATTGGAGAGAGGTCCCTGATGAAGAGGTCGGTGTGTTGTTTATTCGGCGCGTTGATGGTTGAATTGGGAGAATCTGTAAAGAAAAGATTCATGTTAGCGATACAGGCATTGTTATATAGACAGATACATACTTTATAATTGGAGAGAGGTCCCTGATGAAGAGGTCGGTGTGTTGTTTATTCGGCGCGTTGATGGTTGAATTGGAAGAATCTGTAAAGAAAAGATCCATGTTAGCGATGCAGGCATTGTTATTGTTATATAGACATATACATACTCTGTAATTAGAGAGAGGTCCCTGATGAAGAGGTCGGTGTGTTGTTTATTCGGTGGTTGAATTGGAAGAATCTGTAAAGAAAAGATTCATGTTAGCGATGCAGGCATTGTTATTGTTATGTAGACAGAAACCAAGACGGGATGTCAAAACTTCTGGACATTTAAATAAGGCTTTGGACAAGGTAAAAGATTTGAAAAGGCAAACATTCTGGGCATTCGAATAATATATAAGGCTTTAGAATTAGCAATCAAGACAGCTAAGACCTTGGGCCATTGAACAGTGCAACAAAAACGGGAAGCAAAGACCTTGGGCCATTGGGCAGGGCAACAAAGACGAGAAGCAAAGACCTTGGGCCATTGGGCAGGGCAACAAAGACGAGAAGCAAAGACCTTGGGCTATTGGGCAGGGCAACAAAGACGGGGAGCAAAGACCTTGGGCCATTGGGCAGGGCAACAAAGACGAGGGGGCAAAGATCGTGGGCCATTTGGGCAGGGCAACAAAGACGAGAAGCAAAGACCTTGGGCCATTGGGCAGGGCAACAAAGACGGGGAGCAAAGACCTTGGGCAACTGGCAGGGCAACAAAGACGGGGAGCAAAGACCTTGGGCAACAAGGATGACAAGGCAAAGATTGTGGACCATAGGGCAGGGCAACAAAGATAGCGAGGAAAAGATCCTGGGCCGTTTGGGGAGGGCAACAAAGACGAGAAGGCAAAGATCCTGGAAATTGGGCAAAGCAACCAAGACGAGAAGGCAAACATTATGGGCATTTAAATAAGGCTCTAACAAAACAATCAAAACGGGGAGGCAAAAATCCTGGGCATTCGAAGGTGGCATTGGGCAAGGCAATCAAGACTGTATTCACAATGAAGCCCATTGTTGTCGCATAAACTTCTACTGAATATTGATATGAATGAGTGTTTCAAACTTATCACAGTCCTCATGAGAGTCACCTGAAAATAAATAAAGTTCAGTTAAATGAATAATTTTAAATATTTAAAAACAGTAAAAAATATGATATATAGAACGTAAAATGTGCTTTACATGTAATAAAATTGCGTAATTTTAAACAATTTACACAATTGCATTCTTGGAAGATTGATATGCGATTTGTAATTTTTTTTGAACATATATAATTGTACCACTATAATACTATCACGATGGTAGAAAATTAAAATAAAAATCGAAAGAAAGAATCTTTTGTCATCTTGTATGATATCACTATTGTCTGATAAATTTGCGTCAAATGCTTATCTGATTGAAATTGACACTACGCACAATCACTCAGTGAGCACGAGAAAAAACTTTTAACAAACACTTTCTTGGAGTATCAAAATACAATGAATTTCTGAGACAGTTGGATTAGCAATTGGCCAAGATCTAAAAAAAAGAAACATTTTAATTATGCATAAAAACACCTCGCAAAAATAGCGATGATTTAGCTAATAAATATTTGAACACTTACTTCAAAATATACATAAATGGTTCAACCTGAATATATTTGTTATATTATCCATGTTATTTTCATACTACTTTTATATTGTTATATTGGTTTCCTCGTTTTTTATTTTTATAAATCTGAGCTCATTCCTAGTAATATTCTTGAAGCTCCTTCATAAATTTTCCAAACTTATGTCAGTCGTCTTCGTAGAGCATTAATCGCTTGGAAGATTATTAACATGCGCAACTGACATTGTGCAACGGTTGCAGAAGCTGATTTAAAACGCCCTAAAAAAATATAATATTACAAAAAAGAACACTGGAGATTGAGAACAATAACATGCATTGTAGGAATATGTCATTGATTGAATACTTAATTTTCAGCAAGAACTTACCGTGTTATGTGGCATTGCGCAATTTGAATTGTTAGTAAAACTGCATATACGAATATTAATTAACTAATAATAAGCTAAACAACATCAAAACGACGAGCAAATTTTCATTTAGATTTTCCTCTTCGATGTTAACTCCATGGCGGCCGGCAAGAGAAAGGACAAAATCCGGGTTACCGCGCCAATGGTTTGGCCGCAGCGCCATCTATCTGCGCGTCACGTGAAATAGATTTTGACAGTTAGTTCGTCGGTGACGATGGCGGCAAATTTAAACCGAACGAATTGTTAAATTCGTTATTAAATTAAATTATTAACAAAGTTGTTGAATAGACTTTAATATCTCCATAATGTTATAAGTCAAATTATATAAAATTATACATAGTCAAATTTTATAATCAAAAATTTTTAATTGGAAAGTTGAAACTTATATATATATATATATATATATATATTAATATATATTAATATAACCATTATACATTACAGTGTCACCCTGTTCCAAATAAATCCGAAGCAGCTCCAAAGCCATGGCATATAATTTTATTTTTGGTGGAGTTACCACAGGAGGAGTAATTTGTGATGTCACTCCAGGATAAATTTGTGGTTCCATTACAGGATGATTTACAGACGCAAATTTGCTATTGAATTACGGGATTATTTTATGGCAAGAATGCTTTCCTATACCAAATCTGCCTGTCTTACCTGGTGCAGATTCCCTAGATATAAATATACTGGTTAATAACATAATTAACTAGTGGGGCGCATGGCATCGTGAATTAAGGCAAATTGCTGGCACTTCCCGTACTGTAATGAAATATTCGAGAAATTTTAAACGTTTTCAAATATATTATTACAAATACTGTAACTTTCATTATTTTTGCTATCTCTTGTTATATCTGAGCAAATCAAATGTAAATCATAAATCAATTTATCTCTAGAACATTAACAATCGTCATTTCATTTCAAATTCAATTTCAAAAAAAAAAATCATTAACTTCCCGTAGGGTAGTTAGAGTAATGGGCCGAAAATCGAAAATGAAATTGTTTGCATTTCTCGACGTTTTGAAGGTTTCTGAACATTTTGGCATACCTCAGAAAAAATGAATGTGTGTGTGTGTGTTTTGTATGTCCGCATTTTTTTGTCCACGTTTTCGGGCGCACGGATCAACCGATTTGAATGGTTTAAAAAACATTCGATTTCTATTAATAGGGAGATGTGCTGATTGGTTTTTGGCAAAAGCAGATCCAGCCGTTACGGAGATACGGAGCAAAGAGTGCATAAATTACAAATAGAGTTTTTGAGAGAACGAAGTATCGGATTTGAATGATCTAAAAAACATTCAATTTGTGATGATTGGGAGAAGATGTGATTAGTTTTTGGCAAAGACAGGTCCCGCCATTTTAAAGATACATAGTTAAATGTGCAAAAAATGGCAGTTTTTGAGTGAACTAAGCGTCCGATTTGAATGATCTAAAAAACTTTCTGCTTGTATTTACAAAACAATTGCTTTTGAGGATAAAAAATTACTACATTTTTCTTTATTTTCCATAAAATATTTTTGTAATTTTGAATTAAAAATTCAAAAAATTACGCAGGCTAAGCCCAGTCTGAGCGCCACTCTGGCACAAATGTTTACCCGAGTGCGTTTTGACTGTTAATGAACTGGAGCACTTTTCCAATTTTGTGAAAACTATTGAAAAATGTGAAAATGCCGCCAAGCTAAGCAGAAAGTGAAAATGTCGCACAGAATTATTGGCAAATGCGTTTAGACTGTGACTATACGGAAGCACTTTGTCAATTTTGTGCAAATTAGGCAACTATTTTTTTTTAAATTGAATTCGAAATGAAATGACGATTGTTAATGTTCTGGAGATAAATTGATTTATGATTTACATTTGATTTGCTCAGATATAACAAGATAGCAACAATAATGAAAGTTACAGTATTTGTAATGATATATTTGAAAACGTTTAAAATTTCTCGAATATTTCATTACGGTACGGGAAGTTCTAGCAATTTGCCTTAAGGCACGATGCCATACACCACTAATTTGTGAACTGTTTTAAAATGTTGTAAGTTGTCTAAAATCTGCGCAACTGACATTGTGCAATGGTTGCAGAAACTGATTTAAAACGCCCTAACAAATGATAATATTACAAAAAAGAACACTGGAGATTAAGAACAATATCATGCATTGTTGAAATATGTCAATGATTGAATATTTCATTCTCAGCAAGAACTTACCTTGTTATGTCGCATTGCGTAATTTCAATTGTTAGTAGAACTGCATATACGAATATTAATTAACTAATAATAGCTAATATCATTTTCAATTTATTGACTTGTTAAAAAATAAACTAAAAACAAGAAGAATCGAAAGCGTCCATTCCTATAAATATTTGCGCGCCAAAATCACTAAACTTTTGCACACTATTCAATTACCGTACACTCAAAAATGAAAACACTTGGGCACAATAATGCACTACACAATAAAAATCCATCACTGTCTTGAAATACTAAAACACAATTAATTATTCACCGAGAAATTTTTCGCTTTCTTTTTCTTGATTTTCCTCTTCGATGTTAACTCCATGGCGGCCGGCAAGAGAAAGGACAAAATCCGGGTTACCGCGCCAATGGTGCGCCCGCAGCGCCATCTCTCTGCGCGTCACGTGAACTAGACTTTGACGGTTAGTTCGACGGTGGCGATGGCGGCAAATTCAAACCGAACAAATCTCCATAATCGACACTGAATACACTTTATAACCACCAATTTCATTAATAACACTGCTCTATTGCACTAGTCCAATTAAACTCAATAATTGTACTTATAGTGTAATAAGTATTTATTTTAAGATTTCTCCAAGAGGACTCAAAAATACAATTATTTTACATAATAACAAATAAAATATATAATAAATTACAATATATAGTTAGTAACATAAAATGCTTAAGATAAAATTACATATAATGCAGAATGTAACAATAATATTTATAAACAGAATAAGAAAATAATGAGATATTTGAAAAGAAAATAAAAAGATTAACTTGTTCAGATGGAGATTATTTGATTAGGTGAAGTGTTGTGAATATCTATTTCATTATTAATTAAGTTAAAGTTAGAGGACATAATTTAAGAGAGAATTAGATTTAGGGGTATAATTGTACATTTCAAATTATATGTTTATAGATTTGTCATTATCAATATCACTATTAAAATGTGC